CAAAAAAAAAAAAAAAAAAATGTGTTCCAGCTCTTGATCTGGGCTGACTTGAACCCCTTTCTTCACAGACTTCCACCGCTGCCAGAAGGCAATGACCGCTAAAGGAGGCAATGTCTCTGTGTGCGAATGGTACCAGCGTGTGTACCAGTCCCTCTGCCCCACATCCTGGGTATGTGCCTCCTACCAGGGCCCTTGGGATGCTGGGGTGGGGTCTTTGCAGAGGGGAGTGTGGTGGCTTGGTGGGAGCTCATCTGTGAGGGGCAGAGGGAGGACAGGGCTCCACACTGTCCCAGGACTCAATGCCTTTCCTCCCTCCTAGAATTGCCTCCCTTTCTCCTTCTGCTGATGCCTCTCAACCAGTCAGGGCTCTCAGCTGAGGTGACCAGGGCGTCTTGCTAGATGTAGCTCACTCATGCACTCTCCAAATACACACTCAGCACTGGGTTCCCATCCCTGTATAGCTCACAATTCTGTGCAGTCCTGTCCTTTTTTATTATGAGCATTTTCTTTTTCTTTCTTTCTTTCTTTTTTTTTTTTAAGACAGTCTTGCTCTGTTACCAGGCTGGAGTGCAGTGGTGCGATCTTGGCTCACTGCAACCTCCGCCTCCCAGGTTCAAGCGATTCCCCTGCCTCAGCCTCCCAAGTAGCTGGGACTACAGGTGTGCACCACCACGCCCAGCTAGTTTTTTGTATTTTAATAGAGATGGGGTTTCACCATGTCAGCCCAGAATGGTCTCGATCTCCTGACTTCATGATCCACCCGCCTTGGCCTCCCAGAGTGCCAGGATTATAAGTGTGAGCTACCACGCCCGGCCCTATTATGAACATTTTCAAAGTAGAGAGAATAATTCATTGACCCCAAATACATCCATCACCCAAAGTGAACAGTTATCAAGATTTATCCACAGTTTCTTCATCTACCCTTTTTCTTTTTCTTCTTTCCTTTGCTGAAGTATTCTAAAGCAAGTCCCAGACACATCATTTCACCCCTGCCTACTTCAGTGTGGACTTCTAAATAATGACACAGTAAGAGAGTCCCTTCAGCCCTGATCTGAGCAAATCTGTTGTCAATATTTAATAGCTCTTTGCTATGCCCCTGCCCTTTGTTTAAAAAGCAAAAACAAAAACAAGTTTTTAAAGACAGGGTCTCACGATGTTGCCTCGGCAGGACTCGAACTCCTGGCCTCAAGTGTTCCTCCTGCCTCAGCCTCCTGAGTAGCTGGGACTATAGGCATATGCCACTGTGCCTGCCTCTCTCTGTGTCTCTCTCTCTCTTTCCCTCTCTCCCCCCGCCGCTCTTCCTCTCTCTCCCTCTCTCCCTCCCCCTCTCTCCTTCTCTCCCTCTGTCCTTCTCTCCCTGTCTCCCTCTCCTTCTCCCACTCTTTCTTTCTTTCTTTCTTTTCTTTTCTTTCTTGAGTCCACGCTGTTGCCCAGTCTGGAGTGCAGTAGCATGATCTCGGCTCACTGTAACCTCCGCCTCCTGGGTTCAAGTGATTCTCCTGCCTCAGCCTCCTGAGTAGCTGGGACAACAGGCATGAGCCACCACACCTGGCCCAATTTTTGTATTTTTTTGTAGAAATGGGGTTTCGCCATGTTGCCCAGACTGGTCTCGAACTCCTGAGCTCAAAGCAGTCTGCCTGCCTCAGCCTCCCAAAGTGCTGGGATTATAGGCGTGAGCTACCTCACCCAGCTGAATCTTTCAAAATAAAAAAAATTACCCTTCTTTAATTTGGCAATTCCACATCTAGGCATGCTACAAAAATCTTCATGTACAAAGATGCCCATTGCAGAGTTGTTTGTAATGGGGAATATTTGGAAATAACCCAACTTAAAACATTTATCTTGATAGTCTTTATGGAGACTGTGGTGATCTACGTGCTGGCACACGGAAAGAATGCTAAGACACAGGAAAAGCAAGTTGCAGAACAATCTATATAGTAGGAGTCAATTTGCAAGGACGGAGTTTTTATGGTGTGGTGTGTGTATGTAAATAAAGTAGGCATACACTGATGGCACTTATGGGCCAACTATGTTGTTAGCACTTTTTTTAAAATTTTTTTTGAGATGGAGTCTTGCTGCTCTGTCTCCCAGGCTGGAGTGCAGTGGTACAATCTCAGCTCACTGCAACCTCCGCCTCCCAGGTTCAGGCAATTATCCTGCCTCAGCCTCCCGAGTATCTGGGATTACAGGCGCCTGCCACCACGCCCAGCTGATTTTTGTATTTTTAGTGGAGACAGAGTTTCACCATGTTGGCCAGGCTGGTCTCAAACTCCTGACCTCAGGTGATCCACCTGCTTCGGCCTTCCAAAGTGCTGGGATTACAGGCGTGAGCCACCGCGCCCGGCCATGTTAGCACTTTACATCACATGAGGTCAACATGCTAAAACAACCGTATGAGGTAGGTACTATTGTTAGTATCCTCATTTTACGGAATTGGAAACTGAGGCCCAGAAAGGTTGAGTAACTTGCCCAAGGTCACACAGCTCGGAAGTGATGGAGCAGGGATTCAGATTTAGTCTCTCCGTTGTCCATGCTTTCATCCACTGTTCCTTGCGCCAGTGGTCCTCACCCTTTTTGGCACCAGGGACGGGTTTCATGGAAGACAGTTTTTCCACAGACAGGGTTGGGGATGGTGTAAGGATGAGTCCAGCATATTACATGTATTGTCCACTTTATTCCTACTATTATTACAATATATAATAAAATAATTATACAGCTCACCATACTGTAGAATCAGTGGGAGCCCTGAGCTTGTTTTCCTCCAACGAGATGGTCCCATCTAGGGGTGATGGGAGACAGTAACAGATCATCAGGCATTAGATTCTCATAAGGAGCGCACCGCCTAGATCCCTGGCATGCGCAGTTCACAATAGGGTTCGCACTCCTGTGAGAATCTAATGCCGCCGCTGATCTGACAGGAGGTGGAACTCGGGCAGTAATTTGAGCCTTAGGGAGTGCTTGTAAATATAGTTGAAGCTTCTCTCGCTCACCTGCCACTCACTTCCAGTTGTGCGGCCCAGTTCCTAACAGGCCACAGACCAGTACCTGGTTGGGGCTCAGGGACCCCTGCTTTATAGCATAAAATGTGAGCGCGTATGTATATAAAAACGTTTATGCTTGTAACTGCCTGTGAGGCCCACAGAGTAGAGTGTTACTTTCAGGGAGTGTTAATTTGACATAGGCCTTATATGGGCCTTTTCATCTTTTTTTTATTTTTATTTTTATTTTTGTTTTTAGAGAGACAGTCTTGCTCTGTCACTCAGGCTGGAGGGCAGTGTGCAATGGTAGCATCATAGCTCACTGCAGCCTCGAACTCCTGGGTTCAGGCAGTTCTCCCACCTCAGCCTCCCTGGTCACTGGGACTACAGGTGCATGCCACCATGCCTGGCTAAGTTTTGTATCTTTTGTAGAGACAGGGTTTTGCCACGTTCACCAGGCTGGTCTCAAACTCCTGGGCTCAAGCGATCCTTCCACTTCCACCTCCCAAAGTGCTGGGATTATAGGCACGAGCCACCATGCCCCGCTTGTTTTTTGTGTTTTGTAGAGATGGAGGTCTTGCTGTGTTGTCCAGGTTGGTCTCAAACTCCTGAGCTCAAGCAGTCCTCCTACATTGGCCCCGCAAAGTGCTGGGATGACAGGCGTGAGTCCTGAGTCACCACACCCAGCCTCTATCATCATTTATACTAAGCATTGCCTGTGGTCAGTGGTGGGATTGCACTGTGTATTCCGTTTGGCACCTTTTTTGCACTTGACTGTATATCTTGAAGATCCATCCATTCATGCCGGAACATAAATCAGCCTCGTTTTGTTTTTTCACAGCTGCCTGCTATTCCATCTCCCCTATTTGGACAAACAGCATAGTGTTGACATGAGGTTTTCAAAGCAGGGCCCACCCTTGGAGCTCTGTACAGTGACAGATCTCCCCATCGACAGCTCTGCAGTGGGCCTGGGGTTTTCCTGCTGCCCGTTACTCTCCTCCCAGCACGTCAGCTTGTTCAGAACAGTGATTTCTGTCTTTTGGGATCACTGCTGATTCCCCGGCCCCTGGAATAGAGGTTGGCACACAGCAGGTACCTGTGGATATTGGTTGAACAAACAGGTGGGCAAAGTGAGGAAGATAAGAAGTCCCCCCATGCGGTTTCCCTACCGCGGTGGGAATAACACTGTCTTTCCACAGGTCACAGACTGGGACGAGCAACGGGCTGAAGGCACGTTTCCCGGGAAGATCTGAACTGGCTGTACCTCCCTGTCCTCTGTCCTCTGTCCTCTGTCCTTCTCCCAGGATGGTGAAGGGGGACCTAGTACCTAGTGATCCCCACCCCGGGATCCTAAATCATGACTTACCTGCTAATAAAAACTCATTGGAAAAGTGAGACCGTGCGTGTGAATGGGCTAGGCAGTGGCAAGAAGCTGGGCTGGAACCAGTGCCCTGACCAGGGAGGGGCTTCAGTGAGTATTTTTTCTGTTTTGTGTTTATTTTTTTAATTTAATTTAATTGTTTTATTTTGTTTTTGTTTTTTTATGATAGAATCTCATTCTGTCACACAGGCTGGAGTGCAATGGCATGACCTCTGCTCACTGCAACCTCCACCTCCGGTATTCAAGCGACTCTCCTGCCTCAGCCTCCCAACTAGCTGGGTCTACAGGCACACTCCACCACGCCTGGCTAATTTTTGTATTTTTAGTAGAGATGGGGTTTCACCATGTTGGCCAGGCTGGTCTCAAACTCCTGACTTCA